GTCATGCTTAATTTGGTTTGTTTTACGTCATAACAACCTCAATGGTTTATTTCATGTCAACAAGATTTTTTTTTATTACTGGCAACATTTTTTTTCCTTCAAAAATATATTGCTGGTAATAATTTTTTCCAAAAAGGTACTGCTGGTATTAAAACCTATTTTTATAGAGTTTTGACCACTTGTGGCGTTAACCATTTGCCCACAGCTGGGACTCTGACAGGGGCTACCACCCCAGATCACAGTGGACCTTGGAACACTAGCAATTAAGAAGTGGTTCCATGCTCCTAAAAACCTCCTGATCAGAGGCCTCCCTGTTGGATAAAGTTTATCGTCTTACCAAAGATGTGGATGTAGTTTATCATCTTACCCAAGACGCAATCAGGGTTAGATTAGGTCACCGTAAATATGAAGAAAACAAAGGCTTACTTGAAGCTTAAACACAATCTCAGTTCAAAATAAAACAATTTCTGAAACAATAAGCAATTAAAATTTGAATATTGCAATCAAAATTGGTAGTCATGGCAAGAACTTTCACTTATTAGATTTTTGTGAAAGCTTTATAGATTTGTTCCATTTTAGATTCCAGTAGTAGTCAGCCATTATTCTTTTGTTCCATCTTCCTTGATACCATTCTTCTAGAATGTTAAGGAATGTTTCACTTTTTTCATCACTAACATCACCCAAATTAAATTATAGCATTGAGACTAATTTCTATCACAAATATTTGATGCAGATTATGTAAAGAGATGATATCCAAAGAATTTATGCTGTTTCCATTCATAATTAGGGCCTTGTGCCACATCTAAGTTACTCTTAGAAAATCATAACTTAGAATAATACAATTACATTGTCATTATCATAAGGTAAAAACAAGGTGTTTGAGCAATCAGGAATTCAATAATATTTGTGGGTTTTTGCTGTAAATGTCAATGAGTAGCAATAAAAAAGCCAAATTTAATAATAATAATAATAGAGATAAATAAAAAAAATGCAATTGCCATATTTCTATGTATGTCAGTGTTTTATATTTATAATAGGAGGTTGGGAAGAAAGTTTCACTGCATTTTTGACATTATCAGGATGACTTTTGTGGCAAAACTGTGACAAATTTTGTGACAATGTTCTCTGATCGTTCGTCGCTCACTACACTTCTGATGACACCTAAGGTTGATTGTATTTGCATATGCACCCAACTATGTGCACACTTTTGTCTTCTCGGCCATGTTAGCTTTCAACAAAAAAAAAAAAAAAAAAAAAAAAAAATGAAAACAATTGTTTTTCAAGGCTCTTTGGTTGGTTCGGTTTGTTTTACAGCATATCAACCTTAATGCCAACAAGATTTTTATTGGTGGTAATATTTTTTATGTCTATCTGTCTCTCTTGGTCCCTTCATATCTATCTATCTATCTCTCTCAGTATATATTGCTGGTAATAATTTTGTTTTTCAAAAAATGTATTGCTGGTAATATTTATTTTCTTCAAAAATACATTGCTGGTATTAAAACCTATTTTTACATGTTTTGATCCCAGTTAACTATTTACCCAAAGCTGGGACCCTAACAGGTGCTACCACCTCGGGTCAGGGTGGGCCTGGGTACACCAGCAATCAAGAGGTGGTTCCATGCTCCTCAAGACCTCTTGATCAAAGGCCTTGCTGTTGGATGTAGATTATCATCTTACCCAGGACGCCTCTGTGGCTGGGAAGTAGCAACAATCCGATTTCCCACTTAACAGTGGGATCCTTCCTTCAGCTTCAAGAAGTGGGTTGCTATCTTACTAAACTTCCGGCTATGGAAAAGGACATTTACATTCACTGCCTGTCACATCATACCCTACCGATTCCTCACTTTTGGGCAACTACTAACTCACTAGTCACCTACCTACATATCTCATGGCCAAACCCCTTTCTCCTTGACTTCCTGTCTCTCTGCTTATATGGACAATCGCTGGAGTCTCACCCACTCCAAAGCCACATAGGTGGTCAAATCTTCAAAGGACTACTTTTATGACTATTGATAAAATTTTTATGTTTCCCAATTCAAAGACAGCTGTATAGATAAATCCCCTAAACACTGACAGTTAAGTTGACTCAAAGATGGACTGGAGACAAAATTCCTACGAAACTTAGATAACTAAGTGGACTTAAAAATGGAAGGAATTTATCTACTTATCTTCTAAAGATGTGCGAGAAATCTTATTACATTTCACTGAGGCCATTTTTTTTTTTAAATGTTTATGATAAAATAACAATGAATTTTTATGTTTTAAGCAATGGAAGAGGCAAGATTGGATTGGTTTGGTTTGTTTTATGGCATATCAACCTCAATCGGTTATTTAATGCTGACAATTTTTATTACTGGTAATATATTTTTTTTTTTTTTAAAAATGTATTGCTGGTAATATGTTTTTCTTCAAAAATCTATTTCTGAGAATATTCTTTCTTCAAAGAATCTATAGCTGGTAATATTTTTTTTTTCAAAAAAAAAAAAAAAAAAAAAAAAAATGCATAAACTGTATATAATATGTATTGCTGGTATTTTTTTTTTTTTCTTTTAATATTTTTTAAATATTGCCGATAACAATTTTTCCTTAAAAAATTATTGGATGGTAATAAATTTTTTTTTTTACAAAATATTTCTGGAATTAAAACCTATTTTTACACTTTCATAGTATTTTGACACAAGTTTGGGTGTTAACAATTTGCCCATAGCTGGGATCTTAACCGGTGCTACCACCCTGGATCAGGGTGGACCTGGGAACACCAGCAAGAAAGATGTGGTTCCACACTCCTCAAAACCTCCTGATCAGAGGCCTTGCTGTTGGACATAGTTTAGGGTCCTACCTAGGATGCGGAAGAGGCAAAAAACATTCTGTATTTGTCTATATATCTAAGATGAGTTATGATTACTTGCATTATTTAGACTATTATCCTCATCTTCATTGCCATATTCACTATGTTTTGGCCATTGTACATGCTGGCCTTCTTCAGGTGATTGGAATTTCGAACTGAACACTAGAACAATTTACCCCGGAGGACAAAATAGAGGGTTCAGTTCAGTTCGAAATTTCAATCACCTGAAGAAGGCTGGAGTGTACAACAGCCGAAACATTGTGAATATGGCAATGAAGATGAGGATAACAGTCTGAATAATGTAAATAATGCAAGTAAGAAACATTTTTCCTGCCTATGAAAATGGAGATTTAAGTACCAATGAATATTTGGTCAGTTTTAATCAGGAAATATTTCAAACATTTTCCCTAATTTGAGCAATCAAGTTTTTTCAATAATGAGCTTCTGCCAACCGGAGTCAAGGAAAATCTGAAGCTACCTGGATAGAAATAATTCAATACAAGTAACTCTTTCATCATAAAACACATTCATGAACTCCAGGAAAGTGTTTAAACTTGGTCAATGGGTTCCACCCCATCTAACTGGTTCTTAGCTTAAATCAGAGCTGCTCTCTGCTTGTCACTGAAGAGCAGACATGTTTCCAAATCCTTCCCGAGTAAAATCATAGCTTACTGTGATAAGTGTGTTCTCTATAATCATATCCGACAAAAACAAAGTGCTTAACATGCACTGAAGAAGTAGAAAGAATCTATTCCCAATCTCCTCAAAAAGTCGTTTAATGAGATATGAAGAGTGATTTGGCTTTATGACATAATCAACCATAATCGGTTATTTAGTTCCAATAAAATTTTTTATTGCTTATATATATATATATATATATACACACACACACACATTCTTCTTTAAAAATCTATACGTGGTAATATTTAAAAAAAAAATGTATGTATTTTAAAAAATGTATAGCTAGTAATTTTTTTTTTTTTTTTTTTTTTTCAAAAGTGTATTGCTGGTAATAATGCTTTACAAAAAAAAAACGTATTTCTGGCATTTTTACACTTTCATGGTGTTTTAACCCCAGTTTAGGGGTTAAATATTTGTCCATAGCTACGACCCAAACAGGTGCTACCACACGGAGTCAGGGTGGACCTGGGACCAGCAATTAAGAGGTGGTTCCATGCTCATCTAAACATCCTGGTCAGAGGCCTTGGATACCCAAAATGCTATGAAGGGTGGCTTCTCTCATGAAATACTAAATGAAAACATATTGCCCGTTTTACCCAACAAAAGATTACAGCATAAATTATGAAAGCTTAACCCCATCCTCCTTACTCTCCTGACATTTCTCCATCTGACTATCATCTTTTCAGATTATTGCAAGACTTTTCAGAAGGAAAACAGTTTGTTAATTGTGAAGAGGTTAAAAAAATGATGATATTGAAGAACTTTAGGCCTGGGTGATCAACAATTTGCCAAATAGACGGAATTAGCTCATCAAAAAAGAATGAAAATATCATGTTTAAATAATTAAAACCAAAGACACATGTGTCTACTTTCCATCTCCAAATGTGACTAGACTCTTTTCAAACCAATATGTTAAAATAAGGTTTGGTTTGTTTTACGGCATATCAACCTCAATGCCTAGATTTTTATTGCTGGTAATATTTTTTTCCAAAATGGTATTGCTGGCATTAAAACCTATTTTTACACTTTCATAGAGTTTTGAAAACCTTTTGTGGTATTAACTATTTGCCCAGAGCTGGGATCCTGACAGGTACTACCACCCCAGGTCAGGGTGGGCCTGGGAACACCAGCAATCAAGCAATGGTTTCACACTCCTCAAAACCCACCGAGATCAAAGGCCTTGTTGTCGGATGTAGTTTATCGTCTTATCCAGGACGGACGGACAAATCCGTGTCCTAAGGCAGAGGATCTTATAATTTAAAGCTTAATAGGCGACTACCTGGAGTTGAATATACATTGTCGGTGCTTAAGGCCAGCCTGTGACACTTTCAGATATCCAGCAGACTTTAAAAACTTCAACAGCATTCTGGTAGGTAATGTTTAGATAGAATGTCCAAAGTTATATTGCCAGGTGGGTGAGGCGAGTTTAAATCTTGATTTCAAGAAATTAGAGTTAAAAAAAAAAAAAATAAAAAAATAAGAAGCGGGGGAGGGGAACTCACCCAGTGTACATGCCTGTAATTCCCTCTTTCCTCAAGATACTCTGGATTGCATGGAAACTGGTTTTGTGCTCTCGTGCCTTTCCCCCTTCACCTGAATTAGAAAAGAAAATAAGTCAAACAAACTCATGCTGATTAGTCATGGTTGTGCACAGGTTAAGTGTTTGAAAATGTAAGAAAGCTTTTTGACTAGCAATTAACTAAAGTTTAGATTATCACAAAGTCGGCTTTTAGGTCAAAACATCACAGGTTACAGACATACATAAGATTTCGAAAGAGGCAAATATATTTATTTTTAAAATCAGACATTTTTATTATTTCAAACATTATTTTTAGGCAATGCACCTGTTTTAAATAGATGCCCTGTATTTCTTTTTGAAGTGCATATATATATAGAAAAAGTTTCAAATTGAAAATTATGTTTTATTTTATGAAAGTATTTTATATATATATATAGAAAGTTTCAAATTGAAAATTATGTTTTATTTTATGAATATATATATATATATATATATATATATATATATATATATATATATATAGAAAAGTTTCAAATGGAAAAATTATAATGTTTTATTTTATGAAATATTTATTTTATATATATATATATATATATATATAGAAAAAAGTTTCAAATTGAAAATTGTTTTATTTTATGAAAGTATATATATATATATATAACAATAAACGTGTAATCAATTTACAAATAAATGAATTATTCACACAAAACTAATGCAAAGGTTAATGATTTAAATTTATGAGACATCCATCATCACAAACAATTCAAATAGTACACAAGAACCTCCAGATCCGTTATGAATGAATTGATCCTTGTTTATATAAATTTCTGCCGTATTAGTTGTTATTTTTACTACAAGCTTTCGTCTGTTCCTACAGACATCTTCAGGTATATAATAGATGTTGTTCTTGTTTTTTTCTCTTAGTAATAAGGACATCGAAAATATATGTGTTATTGTATCCGAAATGCTATTGAAAATGAGTTATTGGTTTTTGAACGCACCAAAGCAACACTGAGTTTGATTTTAAATTTTTTAAAATGTTTGCGTTTATACCAAATATGGTGTTGAACAAATTTTACTGGTAAATTTTACTGTCAAAGTGGCATGAACTATATTGTTCAATAATTACAGTAATGTCGCACTTATTATCTAAAAGTTGCACATGGATCAGTTATTTAAATTACAATAAACGTGCAATCAATTTACAAATACATGAATTATTCACACAAAACTAATGCAAAGGTTAATGATTTAAATGGCAGAGACATCCATCATCGCAAAACAATTCAAATAGTACAAAACCTCCAGATCCGTTATGAATGAAATTTATATAAACAAGGATCAATTCATTCATAACGGATCTGGAGGTTTTTGATCAAACTCAAGCGTTAAACGCAAACATTTAAAAAACCTATAACTCATATTTTCAATGTCCTCTTATTACTAGAGAAAAAAACAAGAACAACATCTATTATATACCTGAAGATGTCTGTAGGAACAGACGAAAGCTTGTAGTAAAAATGACAACTAATACGGCAGAAATTTATATAAACAAGGATCAATTCATTCATAACGGATCTGGAGGTTTTTGTGTACTATTTGAATTGTTTGTGATGATGGATGTCTCGCCATTTAAATCATTAACCTTGCATTAGTTTTGTGTGAATAATTCATGTATATAAAATATTTATAAAAATTGAAAATTAAAATTATTTTTTTATTTTATGAAAGTATTTATTTATTTATATATATATATATTTGATATTTCAAATTGTCCTCAATTTTTCATCAGAAATAACTGTTTGTTAGCAAGTAGCGTCCTTAGACGAGACGTGGGACGTCACTGTTCAGATATTCCTAACCTAAATCTAACTGTCATATAATATATATATATATATATATATATATATATATATATATTTATTAAAGACATTTTATGTTTAACGTTGTTATTTATAGATACAAGTATTTAAGCAAATGCTCTGTTTATGATAAACAGTATTAAATAACATTTACCGCCTGAATGTCCAAGAAATTTTCATAGAAAATATTCGATTTCTTTGACAGGATTCGAACCTGCATCCTTGTCCATTTCTTAATATATATATATATATATATATATATATATATATATATATATAATGTGTGTGTGTGTGTGTGGTGGCTGTCAACTCACAAAGCAAGTATGATCATCACTGACATGTCCAGCCCATCATTTAACCCACTCCTCCTTGCAACACTGCATACATCACGTGAATAACAGTGGCTTATAAAGCCAGCCATCAATTTGCATTCCATGCCACATATGTGGCATATCAAATCATCTCCGGGTGGTGGAAGGAGATTTTGATCACCATCACTTTCCAATGTCTTGTCAGGCCTGCCCTGAACTTGTACGCCCTATTGCAGGTCAGGCATTCAAAGCATGTCATTATGAAATCGTCATATACAAGAGACTCTTGGTGTGGCCGCTGATGACTAAGCAGACCTGCTTTGGAGAGATATATTTGATTGCATTGGGCATATGGCCTCATGAGATTTGAACTCTGGCTGCATGCTTACGATAGAAAGATAGAACAAGAGAGTGCTTACACCACATGGAGTATTAAAGATTTACAAATGTCTGACACTATACATTGCACAAAGGTATAATTCCAGAGAAACGATTTCACTCCAAGCAAGGCAATAAAGCCATTAAGATGCCAAAGGTTACTGAGTGTTAGAGAATATGAGAAAAACATACTATTGAGAAGAGAGAACAATAAGAGAACAGAAATTATGAAGACACAAGATTTTTGGAGATCAGAGTTCACTGGGAAGCAAGAAGCCGGAAAAGAGTTCCACAAGCGAGAAGAGTGATAGAAAGACTGTTAGCATAAGACTTACGGCCATGTCTGGCCATTTCAGCTGTAAAATGTTTAAACCTTACCACTAATCTAGTACTGTGCTTAAATTCATAAAGTCTATGTACCATAGAGAAAATTTCATTAGAATAATTACCATGAAAATATTTCTAGAAAAAGACACAGGGAAATATTTCTAGAAAAAAAAAACAGGAAACAAACAAAAAAACAAACACAAAACAAAAAAAAAAAAAAAAAAAAAAAAAAAAAAAAAAAAAAAAAAAAAAACAAAAAAAAAAACAAAAACAAACAAACAAAAAAAAAAAACAAAAAAAACAAACAAAAAAAAAAAAACAAAAACAAACAAACAAAAAAAAAAAAAAAACACAAACAAAAAACAAACAAACAAACAAACAAACAAAAACAAACAACAAACAAAAAAAACAAACAACAAACAAAAAAAACAAACAACAAACAAACAAAAAACAAACAAACAAACAAAAAACAAACAAAAACAAAAACAAAACAACAAACAAACAAAAAAGAAACAAACAACAAACAAAAAAAAACAAACAAAACAAACAAATACTGAAGCTGAGATGCCAAGTGAGGACCAATAACATTGCAAATTCTTTGGATTTTATCAAGAATCTCTAAATATGTAGCAGCAGCACTAGACCAGATGCGGCAGCAATACTCAAATCCATGGATAGATAGACTTATAAATATTTAAGATAGATTCTGAAGAGAAAGATTGTCTAGTACAACACAGGGAACCAATTTTCCAAGCAGCTGACCTAGCAACTGATTCAATATAATCTTTCCACTTCATGTCAGAAACTATATCAGAACAACAAAAATGGAAAAATCCTTTAAACTTTAATGTCCGTTCATCTTCAGTTTTTCGTCTGATATATAATAACCAACTTTCAGTATTTCATCCCCAACCACTTATCAGCCAGTCAAGTGCCATACATGATAGATGCTTGAGCAATCATGTCTCTTAATTCATGCCTAAGGCAGCAGATTTTCCTGCAATAGGTTGCCATTTCTGTGGCAGATTAGTTGCCAATCAACTTGAGGTGGGGAGGAGAGATGGATTCATACCTTCCCCAAGGGTACTTGAATGTAAGTGAATATAATGAACCTGACCAGAATTCGAACTCAGCTCAATCATTTCTCATTCCGAGCAGATGCATAAGATTTGATTAATAACATTTAATCTGAAGTATTTTTGAAGGAAAAACCACGCGACATATTTTTCTATTTTGCTATTCAATTATCAACCCCTCCACACACACACTGAAATATAGTTCTAAGTTATGCTTTATTTATGGGATAAATGTGTTCAATATCTGAAATAGAAAAGAAGAGATAAGCAATATGGACACAGTTCAACACTGAATGGAAACAGTCTTTTTCTTGCTTGAATGCAATCTTCAGGCCATGTCTTACACATAACTAAATCCACATAATGTTTTTTTTTTTTAATAATACTTATTAAAACTGCATTTGGCAGAGAAGGGGGCATATAAAAAAAAAAAAAAAGTAAAAATAAATAAAAAAAAATTGCATTTTCCACTGTAAATTATTCATCATATCTAAGTATTTTACAAAAAATTAGAGCCGATTACACAATATTTCAAGCTCAATTTAGATTATAGTTCATAACCATGCAGTGTGATAACAAACCATAGATTTGTTTGGCAGAATATCATTACATTACTGTTTCATAATTATAATGAAATCAAGGTCTTTTGTCAAAAGTATTTTATTTTTGGTCATATATTAAATTTAAAATATTCCTTTTTACAGGCTTTATTTTTTTTTTTTTTAAATGGAATAAGATCATTCTAAATTTCAGAATTTTGCTATTGCTCATCAAAATGATTGGAAGAAATCGATATTTCCTCTTTGATTTAAATTAAATTTGAACAAGGGACTCCTATGCAAAATATAGGAGAAAGCCAGAAGATGAAGGTCACATCGGCAAGATCAAAATAAGACAATATGGACATCAAGTTGAACAAGAAATCGCTAATCAGCGGGTAGAGTCTTACAATACATATTTGTTGCGACAATTCATCTGTCAAATCAATGTTGAAATCTGCTCATCAATTCATTCAATCAAGTATTACATCAAATATATATCAAAGGGGTCAGATCAATCTGTTTTTAGCATAAATCCTCCTCTGAAAATTTTACCCTTTCATTTAAATTAAATTTAAAACTGAACAAGGGAATGACTCATATCCAAAATATAGAAAGCCAGAAGATGGAGGTCACATCGACAAGATCATTGAGTAATATTGAAATGCATCATTTTTCTCTACAAATTATAACAATGATTTAAAATCAATCATTTTGTTACAAAAGAAATGTGTAACATGCAAGGTGCGGATAATTCGGCTTTTATATATATATTATATCAAAAGCAACAACAAACTCTAATTTAATGAATTTTAGCACTTTTTCAGTGGAAACTATCTTGTAGAGATGGTATTCAAAAAACATTTGCTAACAAGACTGTCCTTTCATAATCTCAAGTGCCTAAATAAATCTTGCAGGATGTTTATATCTTAGTTAACCCCAAGCAAAGCAATAATGCCACTAAGATGCAAAGGGCTACAGAGAGTGAAAGAGAATGAAAAGACTTTAGAAGGGACCTGAAACCCATTTCTAAACAGGAGACAAGGGATAAACCTCTACTCCTGTTCAAAAGGGCGGTGAGTAGTGTAAGCCTATAACCAGGGTCTCTTGCCAGACACTGCCAAGATAAATCAGGGCTGACCTTTTGGCTTTTATTAATTTATAGGTGTTAAAATGTGTTGCATTCCTTGGTCCCACAAGCTCAGACCTTCATAGCCATAACCCACCATGCCTTATTCATGGTGGCAAAGTAAAGTTTCCACTTAGAGGGCTTCTTGCCCAGAACTGCGTGGGACAGACTCCCAGGAAGATACTTCCCTGGCTGCTACAATTTAACCTCTTCAAGCCCAGGGTCAACCAATACATACCCTTATAAAAAACACTCACCCCTTACTCACACCTCTTTTTTTTTTCTCTCTCTCTCTCTCTTTACTACCCATTGTAGCTACAGGACCATCTAACAATGTATCAGCAAGAAAGGGGAGTTCCACTTCATACCTTTCTTAACTGAAGAACATTCGTGTGAAGGAAACATCAACATTTGAACTCAGTGTTGATAGTGTTTATGCAAAAATAAATCAACAAACTGAACAGAGAAGACATTCTGTTTCGATACAAAAAGGCCATCATACTTACCACTAAGCTGCATTCGATTCTTAACCAAATCCAAAGGTTGAACGAAACACGTTGCTGCCATTCTAGAGGGGAAAAATTAAAATAAAAAGTTCAAATTATAAAAAAAAAAAAAAAAAAAAAAAAAATGTGATGGAAAAAAAAACACACACACACAGTAGTTACTTTGCGGATACCACCTGAAACTGGATAATATAGAAGCAGCATTATATATATATATATATATATATATATATATATATGGTGGCAATAAAGTTGCTTACAATAACAATTAAGACAAAGCAATTAATCAACAGTCCAGAAATTTATTATTTAAATAATTCTGGTTAATAACAATAAAATGCTATGGTAAACAATAATAAATTAATTACCAATACTGTTTGAATTGCAAGCCACCTGCTTCAATGCTTTGCTTTTTTTATTATAAGTAACTGTATAGTGACTTTATTGCCATATATATATATATATATATATATATATATATATATATTATATATATATATATATGATTTCTGTTTTATGGCTGATCAACCTTGTGTTGATTACTTAAACCCAAAATATTTTGGATCTTGCAAATTCCCTGTGCCTTTTCTCTAAATATTTTCATGGTAATTGTTCTGATAAGCTTTCCTCTTTGGTACCTAGACTTTATGAATTTAAGCATACTACAAGATTGGCGGCAAGGTCTCCTCATCTAATATTTGAAACGGCAAGATGTAACCATAAGTTCTATACACGTTTATAGTAATAACTAGCCTACAGGCAAACTTTAGCCTAGCTCCTGTGAAGGATTTTTGGACCTTCGGCCTTTTACCATCAGCATCATATATATGTAAAAATTATATGAATTTAGAAATAATATCATTTTATCTTTATTCAACCTCTTACTTCGGCTTAATCTTTATTTATATATGCAACTAATCTCTGTAGTTGGTTTACCAATAATTTGTGTGCAATTTTGATTTTCTTTTAAAAATCACCGTTCTTTATGATCCCTTCATATAAAGTCACTCTTAAACGACATTAGGGAACCCGAACTATGTAATATTTGAAATATGTCACATTATGTGTGCTAGAAAAAAAAAAAAAAAAAAAAACAACATATGAGCAACATACCGTGCCCCGCTTAAGTTTCAATTACGGTTTAATTAGATAATATCAATTGCAGCTACAACAAAAAGTGAAATTAAAGTTAAACCTTTAATAAAGAGTTTCTTAAAACTTTCACTGTTCAATATTTAAATTCCACTTTAAACGAGTTATTTATTTGTTAATCGTGTGTAGCAACAGTAGTTACTACCTGTTGCTTCAAGTTGTTTATGATCATGTGAGATTGAAAAACAGACAGATAGACATACACACCTATATAAATAAAGCGCAGTGTGTGTGAGAGAAGGAATTTGCTGGTAGAACCAATGCTATTCTTCTTGAATAGAAGAATTAAAACTAATAAAGCAAAAATTGGACCCATGAAACTTAAAATTGTAGAGGGTGGGGAGTATCTGGCTATTTATATGGAAATGTTAAAAAATCACCACTACATCCCATAACAAAATAGTGACCATAAAATCAAATTAGCGTATCTCATGAGGTGATAGGAATATTTTTTTTTATTTATAGTCCTCACTTATTCCCAGAGATCCCATTGCATTTTTTTTTTACATACGATTTTGTCTTTCTTTCATTCTAATCTGAAGAAGCTGGTGGAAGCAGGCGCTATCGCCGTTTATAGCATTCCCCATTTGCCTCATTATCTTCACTTATTTCAGATACTATCTGACTGACTGACATATATATATATATATATATATATATATATATATATATATGAGAGAAAGAACAGATGGAGTAAAATTTGACTGTAGCATTTACTTTTAAAAAAGTGCCCAATACAAAGTAGAGCAATATATTATTATTTTTATTATAAGAGATTACAAAAAAACATTGTGAAATTGCTACACAAAAGCTTTCATTGAATTAACCACGACAGCCACAAGGATAAAAAAAAAAAAAAAAAAAAAAAGTTGAAAAATCAACACAGAATTCATTTCATTTCAATATTTCAGTCAGAGGAAAGGCATGAGACAGCAAGTGGAAGGTATTAGTCCTAAAGGTAAGAGGCTTTACAAAATTAAACCCAGATGCAAACCCTACATTGAATTCGGCTTACATGAAGAATGAAATGTTAATCTAAAACTGAGAGAAACGAAAATGGGGTTTTAAAAACCTTAAGTTATATAGACAAAGTTATGCCCCAAAATACTTAAACATACTCTTCCAAAGACAAGTTATATTCAAAAATAAAATATATGCAAATAAATTGAAAATAAGTCATATTTAGATATTTCATATTAAAACCAAGTAAAATTATATATATATATATATATATATATATATATAATATATATATATATATATATATATATATATATATATATAATCTCCAACACAAAATCAACAGAAAGAAAAAATACAAGACAAAACAAATAAAGAAATAAATAAAACAAAAATAAAAACCTCTCAACCTTTAAAGATTTTATTTATTTAAATAAATAAAATTTTTAAGGTAGTCTTGTATTTTTTTTCTGTTATATAATTTTTTTTTTCTTGTGGCCGTCGTGGTTGATATATATATATATATATATATATATATATATATATAAAATAATTTGTAATTTAAAGTTTAAAATTCCAACATTTTCAGCATTTCCTGTCTACCTAATTATAATCAATGTTTGCATTTTTATATTCCCACTCCTTTGTATGCACAATTACGAGAGACATTAGTTTAATCTGATGAAATCATAAAGGGCGAAAATGTGCCATACAAAAAAAAAAAAAAATGTGTGTGTGTGTGTTGATAAAAATTTATAAATTTTCATCTAAGATCATAATAGTGTTATTAGCATACCCCAGCATAAACTAATAAGTAAAAAAAATATTACGTAAAATAACAAACCAAGTTGGTAAAATAGGCCATAAACATGACCCAGTGGGTAAAAGAGGTTGGTTGGTTGATTCAAAAAAATAACTTGACTCAAAAGAGTTCAGAGTTCAACCACAGGCCTCAGCAAAGGGTTATCAAGGCAAATTAACTAAAACTGAGATATCCAAAAGCATAGTACATGGAATTAGAATAATCTACCCCATGGAGTAAATAAAGGGCGTGGTTCAAAATTCAAACAAATATCACCTGAAGAAGGCCAGTACGTACAATGGCTGAAACGTGAATGTGACTGTAAAGATGAGGACAGTCTGAATAGTGTAATTAGTAATTCAGAAAGATAGACAGATGCTGAAGTGTACAATGGCTGAAATGTTGTGAATGTGACAGTAAAGATGAGGACAACAATGTAAATAGCATAAATAAAATTATTAGCTATCGTTTTCTTGCTGCTTTGTCATAAAACGCAATATGAATGCTCGTTTTTGACATTTTATATGTATTTTACTGTTATTTCACCCAATACAAGGTCCAAGAGCCACTCAAGTTAGAGGGTGACTGAGTAAAACTGTTGTAATAGATGGGAAAAGGAGAAAGTTAAGAAATGCCAATTACGAGAACATGTAGGGTAGATATCATTTGATCTGGTCTTGAAGAGACGAGATTGTAGTTGTCAGGGAAACATTTTCTTAGAAGTTTGTTCCACAAAATAACCGTATCTGGAGCATTCGCTGTAAACATTTTTGCTGTAGGAAAACTCACCTCAGGAGTATAGGAGACAATTTTGCCGCATTCTTTGATGGGTCGGGTAATGAATGATTACGTATTATGAATTATAAATTTTTACATGTCCAATTTTTTTTTTTTTTTATATGGGCGAAGTGTCCATCATTTCTATATTCTTCAGACTATTAGCATTTTGTTTCTTGCTATGTTTTGTTCTTTGAACTTCTTTTGTTTCTACTTTCTTGTTTGATTTTGCTCCATTAGTTTTACCATTTGGTTCTTTTAATGAACTTTGTCTAGATGATGATCTTTCCTTTGTTTGTGATGGTTAGAGTTTTGTTCCTCTATGATCATTTTCCTTGGTTCTTCAATAACCGTTTCATTATTATTTTTTTGTATCTTTTCATTCTCTTGAGAATGTTTCAATGTTTCTATTTCTTGGGTTTTATTTTTTCCATTTTGATTTTTCGGGTTTAATAGTTTTGTAGATGTAGAGTCATTTTTGTTTGCGGGTGACGGTATAGGGTTTTTTTTTTTCATTAGGTTCTTTTAATGATCTTTGTATAGATGATGGCCGTTCCCTTGTTTGTGATGGGATAAAGTTTTGTTCCTCTATGTCCATTTCTCTTGATTCTTCACTAAAAGAAGAGTTTTTTTTTTTATGTACCTTTTGATTCTCTTGAGAATATTTAGAGGTTTCTATTTCTTGGATTTTTGTATTTTGGTTGGGAATTTTCAGATTTAATCATTTTGTACATGTAGAGACTTTTTTTGTTTGTGGTTGATGGGACAGGATTTTTGTTTGTCTATGGGTGTTTGATTTATGAGTGATATACTACATTTTAGTACTTCGATTAAACTTTTTAATTCGTTAATAAGAGTTATAAGATCTTGGCTTCTTAATGCATTGTTTTCTTGGATGACTTTTTGTTGATTTGATATTTTAGTGATATTTGCATATGATGCTTGAAGTGAATTAGATTCAACCTGTTTCCCGGCTTCTTGGAATGAAATATCTTGCATATATTTTCTTCTAATTATTTTCTTTTTCCAAATATTACATTCTTTGGAGTCTGCTGAATGTTTTTCTTTACAGTTTGGGCATAAACGAGGCCTTTCACAAGGTGATTTATCATGCTCAGTCTCCAGTTCTCCACATCTTCGGCAGACTGATGTTCTCGTACAAACATTTTGAAGATGACCAAATTTATGACTTATGACAACTACGGGGATTAGGAATGTATGGCTCTACCTTGGCTATTGTGTAACCTATCTTTATTTCTTTTGGTAGAGTTGGTTTGTCGAATGTCAAAATGTATGTGTTGGTGTGTATTACTGTGTCATTTCTTTTTACTTGCATTCTTTTTACCTTCATTACTCCTTGCTTTTTTTAGG